TATGCCTGGTGGGGACTTGTACTGTAGTATCACTGGTGGGGACCTTGTGGACTTCTACTGTTGTATCACTGGTTTGGACCTGTACTGCAGTATCACTGGTTGGAACCTGTACTGTAGTATCACTGGTGGAGAGCTGTAATGTAGTATTACTGTTTTGGATCGGTACTGTACTATTACTGGTGGGGACCTGTACTGTAGTATCACTGGTGGGGACCTGTACTATAGTATCACTGGTTGGGATCTGTACTGTAGTATCACTGGTGGGACCTGTACTGCAGTATCACTGGTGGGGACCTGTACTGTAGTATCACTGGTTGGGACCTGTACTGTAGTATCACTTGTTTGAATATGTACTGTAGTATCACTGGTGGGAACCTGTACTGTAGTTTCTCTGGTGGAGATCCGTGATGTATTTTTACTGTGTGGGATCTGTACTGTACTATTACTTCTGGTTACCTCTACTGTAGTATCACTGGTGGGGACTTGTACTGTAGTATCACTGGTGGGAACCTGTACTGTAGTTTCACTGGTGGAGATCCGTGATGTATTTTTACTGTTTGGGATCTGTACTGTACTATTACTGGTAGGGGACCTGTACTGTATTATCACTGGTGGGGACCTGTAATGTAGTATCACTGGTTGGGACCTGTACTGTAGTATCTCTGGTGGGGACTTGTACTGTAGTATCACTGGTGGGGACCTGTACTGTAGTATTACTGGTGTGGACTTCTACTGTAGTATCACTGGAAGGGACCTGTACTGCAGTATCACTGGTGGGGATCTGTACTGTAGTATCACTGGTGGGGACCTGTACTGTAGTATCACTGGTGGAGATCTGTATTGTAGTATTACTGTTTGGGATCTGCACTGTACTATTACTGGTGGGGACCTGTTCTGTAGTATCACTGGTGGGGATTTGTACTGTAGTATCACTGGTGTGGACCTGTACTGTAGTTTCACTGGTGGGGATCTGTAATGTAGTATCACTGGTTGGGACCTGTACTGTAATATCACTGGTGGGGACCTGTACCGTAGTATCACTGGTGGGGACCTGTAATGTAGTATCACTGGTTGGGGCCTGTACTGTAGTATCACTGGTGGGGACTTGTACTGTAGTATCACTGGTGGGGACCTGTACTGTAGTTTCACTGGTGGAGATCTGTGATGTGTTTTTACTGTTTGGGATCTGTACTGTACTATTACTGGTGGGGACCTGTACTGTAGTATCACTGGTGGGGACTTGTACTGTAGTATCACTGGTGTGGACCTGTACTGTAGTTTCACTGGTGGAGATCGGTGATGTGTTTTTACTGTTTGGGATCTGTACTGTAGTATTACTGGTTGGGTCCTGTACTGTAGTATCACTGGTGGGGACCTGTACTGTAGTATTACCGGTGTGGACTTCTACTGTAGTATCACTGGAAGGGACCTGTACTGCAGTATCACTGGTGGGGACCTGTACTGTAGTATCACTGGTGGAGATCTGTAATGTAGTATTACTGTTTGGGATCTGTACTGTACTATTACTGGAGGGGACCTGTACTGTATTATCACTGGTGGGGACCTGTACTTTGGTATCACTGGTGGGGACCTGTACTGTAGTATCACTGGTGGGGACCTGTACTGTAGTATCACTGGTGGGGATCTGTAATGTATTTTTACTGTTTGGGATCTGTACTGTCTGCTTGAGATTGTTTGTGTTAGATTGTATTTTTTGCTATGGTATATTGCCCAGATGTGGTCCAGTAGAGGACAATGCCTTTGTGTACTAAATTTGTCCGTTGTCATCTTTACTGCTAAATGTGATACTTACTGTACTGTTTACTGGATGGTTTTATTGTTAAATAAGTTAATCAATATAATGACATGTTTGTGCCTGTAACATCTTAGGTTTTCCTGATCTAATTTTCTACTGATTATTGAGTATAAAAAGCACATTGCGACCTTTAAATTTGAAAAACAGAAGTATCAAGGAAGCTGCGCAGGCAACGTGAAGTGGCCTTCACGTTGTTGTCTTTTTGTTGTCTGTTGATGAGCAATTTCACTAGCATGAATGTGTGTGTTGGGCTGTAAAACAACCAAAGATCAAGGTCTGCTCACATCTTGTAAGCAAGAACAACTTTTAGTAATTAAAGTCATGGTGCTTTAGGTGTCGTATTATGTCTTGATCTTCAGACGTCTGGAGCTGTGCATGGCTCTTATCTTCAGGCCACCTTCAGGCGACCTTGTCCAAGATTTGCATGTCAGTGTTAATTTTCAGAATGCATGTTTTAAGTGTTTGTTTGTTTCTTTAATATCAGACTGTTTTAGCAAATACCCTGGCTTTTAGTAGCTCTACTGGAGTAATTACATTGTGACCAAAGGCAGCCATATGGCCATACATAAATAAGCATTTTCTTTAAGCCATCCTTTTAGTTATCCTTTCTCAAAGACAACAATAAACTGAACTATACAACCATATTTCCATCATTAAAAATTAATCTGTTGAGACCTTTACATTGAAGGAAGGATTTTTACCTGTATACTTTTACAGTGGAGCCTCGTTAGTCCTATCTGACTGTACTTAACCTCAAGTCTGACTTTGAGTCACTTGTAATGTAAAGTTGAGTCACCTGTCTGAGAGTCACTTGCAATCTGACTGTGAGTCACCTGTAATCTAACCCTAAGTCACCTGTAATCTAATTCTAAGTCACTTGTAATGTAACTGTGAGTCACTTGTTATCTATTTCCAAGTCACCTGTAAACTAATTCTAAATCACCTGTAATCTAACTCTAAGTCACCTGTAATCTAATTCTAAGTCACCTGTAATCTAGCTCTACATCACTTGTAATTTGACCGTGAGTTACCTGTAATCTAACTCTTAGTCACCTGTAATCTAACTCTAAGTCACCTGTAATCTAATTCTAAATCACCTGTAATCTAACTCTAAGTCACCTGTAATCTAATTCTAAGTCACCTGTAATCTAGCTCTACATCACTTGTAATTTGACCGTGAGTTACCTGTAATCTAACTCTTAGTCACCTGTAATCTAACTCTAAGTCACCTGTAATCTAATTCTAAATCACCTGTAATCTAACTCTAAGTCACCTGTAATCTAATTCTAAGTCACCTGTAATCTAGCTCTACATCACTTGTAATTTGACCGTGAGTTACCTGTAATCTAACTCTTAGTCACCTGTAATCTAACTCTAAGTCACCTGTAATCTAATTCTAAATCACCTGTAATCTAACTCTAAGTCACCTGTAATCTAATTCTAAGTCACCTGTAATCTAGCTCTACATCACTTGTAATTTGACCGTGAGTTACCTGTAATCTAACTCTTAGTCACCTGTAATCTAACTCTAAGTCACCTGTAATCTAATTCTAAATCACCTGTAATCTAACTCTAAGTCACCTGTAATCTAATTCTAAGTCACCTGTAATCTAGCTCTACATCACTTGTAATTTGACCGTGAGTTACCTGTAATCTAACTCTTAGTCACCTGTAATCTAACTCTAAGTCACCTGTAATCTAATTCTAAATCACCTGTAATCTAACCCTAAGTCACCTGTAATCTAATTCTAAGTCACCTGTAATCTAACTGTAAGTCACCTGTAATCTAACTCTTAGTCACCTGTAATCTAACTGTAAGTCACCTGTACTCTAACTCTAAGTCACCTGTAATCTAACTCTTAGTCACCTGTAATCTAACTGTAAGTCACCTGTAATCTAACTCTGTATTTTTACACTAAGTAACCTATTATCTATGATAGTCCCATATATTCTGACTGGATAATAGGAGACACACGTACAATCTGGATGTCGATCTGCTGCAGAGCTCTCACATCTTCATTGTAAACTGAAGAATAAACCTGGCTAATTACAGGGTTGTAGAACCAAGTTAAATACTAGACACTGAATCGGTTACTTTGAGCTCCGGTATTGGCTTCCTTCTTATTTAACCCTTCACACTACTTGACCATGATTGAAGTTTCCAGACATTCTCTCCTGGTAGTAATTGTGCCCCTGTTGCTACAGGCTTTGTTGTTTCCTGTGACCAGCAGGCACTCTCTGCTACTTTGGTTTTATATGTATTTGGGATAGTTGATGGCATTTATGAAACAGTCATGATCTGCTTCCAATAAAGAATTTTCTTATTGACATAAGCCATTCAAACCACTGATCAAACTTATTCAAATTTTTTGTCTAATTTTACATTAAGGTGATAATTCTCCTCTAAAAACTGCGGAAATCATACAGATATTTATTGTATACTCTGTGCTATTGTTTGGCTGACAGTATGTGATGGTTAAACTACCTAAACCTTATAACATTAGGTTAGTGGTGTGAGTTACGGAACAATCCATTACTTGCACTATATAGACAACTGTATCCTCTTGTCACTCCAATGTATTTTTATGAGAGTAAAAATCAATGCATTGTTATTAAGGATCATTAATGGAACCCAGCTCACCTCTCTGGGGACTCTGTGTTTACAGTGGAGGAGAGTCTTGTTATAGTCAACTATCCTTGTGATCAGATGTCTTATATTTTCATCTTTGTTAACACTGCTCGTTAAACCTTCACAATGATGGAATTTGTTTTTAATGGTTTTTGCTGTTTGCATTAAGATAAAAATGTATGAAACCATCCCATGACAAACCTGTTGTGAAGAAGTGAAGGTCAAGGTTACATGGGTCAATTACATTAAAATCTCACCTACAGAGAGAATCATCTAGACCCCATCATCAATAGAAACTGATGTCATGTGACCTTATGTATTGTGTGAACTGATCATCAGTAGATACTGATGTCATGTGACCTTATATATCATGTGACCCGATCAGCAATAGACAAAGTCTCCATTTGATCTTGATAACTAGTGATGTCCCATCTGCATTCTCTATGTTGCAGAGTTGATCAGAAAATGACAAACGGGGTCTATAGAATTAAGAAATTTGTTTCCATTTGTGTTTTAAGGTAGATGACATAACATGTAGATTTTTTGTAATTTCAGGTTCATGATGGTGCTTATCTGTCTCATCTTTAGTGTGTTGTCCACCATAGCTCAGTATACAAACTTCGCCAACGAAACCCTCTTCTGGATGGTAAGTGACTAATAGAATCTTCCCCTACCTTGAGGGTGTGACAGAGCAATCTCAAACCTGAGGGATGATGTTCTTGATTGTCCTACCCTAGGGTCTGCGGAGGGTAAGACATTCAGGAATATCACCCCGAGGGTTGTAGATTTCACTGTCACACTCTCAAGGTAGGGAATGATTGTTTTTCTTCCATCCTGTTTCACTCAAAAAATCTGCCAACAAGCGATGATTTCATGAAATGTAAGCATTGATTGCATGTTTTTACATTAAATCCAGAGTTATCTCCCATGGCCTGCTACTGTTGACTTGACGTCAATGCATTGATGACGTGACGTCATACTTTTGTTATGACTTAGATTGCGCCATCCTGCATGAGGCTATCTCCCCCTAGGGGGTGACAAGCTGATCTTTTCCGGCTTAATGGGAGACAGACCTGTGAAGGGTGGGAGAATTAATAATCATATAGCTTAGTGCACGAGATATGACAACAAAACCTGTCCATATCTTAGTATGGTCTGAAATGATTAACTCCATATCTTAGTAGTATCTACCTACCTGGTCTGAAATGATTAACTCCATATCTTAGTAGTATCTACCTACCTGGTCTGAAATGATTCACTCCATATCTTAGTATACAGTTAAAGTATGGGGTTGAGGGATATAGCAAGTTTCTGGTGTCCCGAGACCAGGTATATTTCCCAAGGCACTTTGTAATAGGACAAGGAAAAATGATAAAGATAGTGCCGGCGCCGGGGCTGGAACCCACGACCCATGGCTCTCCAGCCCGATGCTCTATCGCTGAGCTAAAGGGAAATTCCCTACACTTGACGCTTGTAAGGCAGCCTAATTAATCCTCATCTTTTACACTGTTCCCCCCTTTTTTCAAATATCAACCCAGGTTCTTTGACTCCCCGTCAAGGGTTCTCCTACCTTGAACGGGGAGGGTCAACGGCACCACTTTGTAATAGGACGAGGAAAAGTGATAAAGATAGTGCCGGCGCCAGGGCTTGAACCCGCGACCCTTGGCTCTCCAGCCCAATGCTCTACCGCTGAGCTAAAGGGAAATTCTGAAATAATTAACTCCATTTCTAGCTATAAGAATCTACCTACCTGGTCTGAAATAATTAACTCCATTTCTAGCTATAAGTATCTATCTGAACTGAAATGATTAGCTCCATATCTAGTTAATATCTACCTGGTCTGAAATAATTAACTCCATTTCTAGCTATAAGTATCTACGTGTACTGAAGTTATTAGCTCCATATCTGGTTAATATCTACCTGGTCTGAAATGATTAGCTCCATATATAGCAGTCTTGTTCAACCAGACTCTTGTTGTCTGCGAAAGCTACGCCGAACAGAGAGTCTGGTCAAACCCAGTGCTATCGTTTTGTGAAGTCATAACGAGGCTTACCAGAATTCTGGTAAATGATTTCATTGGTCAAAGGTACACTCACCCTTTTCAACTTTTGAAGTCAGAATTTGAGTGGCGCAAAATTACATTGAATATATTAATTCAAGAAAAAACTTACCTGTACATGCATTCCTGAAGTATCCGTGCTTTCACTATTATCGAGAAAAATGTAAAAAAATGCATAAAATCTCAAGAATGATTTCATGTATTTTCATTGGATATTTTACATTGATACAAGACAAGCCAGATTACCTGAGTGAGAACCTATAGTGTTTTGAATGGTGTACAGGTAAAATCTCACTTGCTTACCATGCTTTTTTCCAACCTCAGTCAGCCTTGTTGACTTTGTGCTCGGTTATGATTTATTCAGTAGAAATATATAAAGGTTGTTGCATGGTTTTTGAGTAACAATGGATTTATTACACCCTCGCTTCACTCGGGTGTAATAAGTCCCAAGTGACGAGAAATCATGCAACAACTGGCTTACTGCATGCTTCCCAACTCGAACAAAACTGAAAAAATGAGTAAAAAAAGTTCACCTAGACAATCTTTTTACCTATACCCTACACTGCAGATAATTCACATGTATCTGTGTGAGTGAGTACTAATCATAACCAGGTATGATTCTCAATAGCCCAGTCTGAGTGTATCCTTCATAATGGATACAAGATTTATTATGGTTTATAATGGCAAATGATACTTTGAATATTACATGTTAATAACTTGATTGGAATTATAACCCTGAGTTAACATTTTGATACTTTGAAAATTTTGAGCCAGCCCTACCCCAAGGGCTGTAGGGTGGGGCCCAAAAGAGTGAGTGTGGGGCCCAAAAGAGTCAGTGTGCTAAAATTTCTTCATTTTCCTTGTTTAGAATCGGAGGTGCTAGTTTCAAATACTTTTTAGTCTTAAATCTGTATGCTAGATATTGAATAAGGTGGTTTTATTGTTTTTTGTCACTTTGAATAATATTTCTGTTCATGTTAATATAAAAACCAAATCAACTCTCTGTATAAATATATCAGGTGACCGTTAAGGCCAATGGGCCTCTTGTTTACTCAACTTTTCTGTTTTGTTCGAGTTGGGAAGCATGCAGTAAGCCAGTTGCATGATTTCTCGTCACTCGGGACTTATTACACCCTCGCTTCGCTCGGGTGTAATAAATCCCTTGTTACTCGAAAACCATGCAATAACCTTTACTTACTCTGGAGATTTGACACATTTTCTTACACTGTTCTTGATAATAGTGAATACACGGGTACTTCAGGAATGCATGTACAGGTAAGTTTTTTCATTAATTTCATTATTCTTTGAAAAGTTTAAATGTCCTTGACATAACGTCCTTAAACGAAAGTAAAAACACTACCCTCTGGTGATGGTAATTTTAAAGTACGTGTTTGTCCAGACTCTTGAATTACAAGTAATCAAAGCGTCTGGTTGAACGAAACTACATATCTAGTTAATATATACCTGGTCTGAAATAATTAACTCCATTTCTAGCTATAAGTATCTATCTGTACTGAAATGATTAGCTCCATATCTAGTTAATATTTACCTTGTTTGTTACAGGAGATTGTGCTGGTAGTATTTTTTGGCCTTGAATATGTCATCCGTCTGTGGTCAGCTGGATGTCGAAGCAAATACATGGGCTTAAAAGGAAGGCTACATTTTGCAAGGAAACCCATTTCTATCATAGGTAAATAAACAATACTTACATAGAAACAAACCTTTATCATAGATTTATATACAACAAGTTAGGTCAAGTTAGGTCATGGAAGCCCATCTTTATCATAGGTTTATATACAGCAGTTAGTGTGTATGGAAGCCCATCTTTGTCATAGGTTTATATACAGCAGTTAGTGTGTATGGAAGCCTATTTTTGTCATAGGTTTAGATACAGCAGTAAGTGTGTATGGCAGCCAATCTTTGTCATAGATTTATATACAGCAGTTAGTGTGTCCTGAAGCCTATCTTTGTCATAGGTGAGTACACGACAGCTAGTGTGTATGGAAGCCTCTCTTTGTCATAGGTTTATATACAGTAGTTAGTGTGTATGGAAGCCTATTTTTGTCATAGGTTTAGATACAGCAGTAAGTGTGTATGGCAGCCAATCTTTGTTATAGGTTTATATACAGCAGTTAGGGTGTATGGAAGCCCATCTTTGTCATAGGTTTATATCCAGCAGTTAGTGTGTATTGAAGCCCATCTTTGTCATAGGTTAATATACAGCAGTTAGTGTGTATGGAAGCCCATCTTTGTCATAGGTAAGTATACAGCAGTTAGTGTGTATGGCAGCCAATCTTTGTCATAGGTTTATATACAGCAGTTAGTGTGTATGGAAGCCCATTTTTGACATAGGTTTATATACAGCAGTTAGTGTGTATGGAAGCCTATCTTTGTCATAGGTGAGTACAAGACAGCTAGTGTGTATGGAAGCCTATCTTTGTCATAGGTTTATATATACAGAAGTTAGTGTGTATGGAAGCCTATCTTTGTCATAGGTTTATATACAGCAGTTAGTGTGTATGGAAGCCCATCTTTGTCATAGGTCTATATATAGCAGTTAGTGTATAGAAGCCCATCTTTATCATAGGTAAGTATACAGCAGTTAGTGTGTATGGAAGCCCATCTTTATCATAGGTTTATATACAGCAGTTAGTGTGTATGGAAGCCCATTTTTGTCATAGGTCTATATATAGCAGTTAGTGTATAGAAGCCCATCTTTATCATTGGTAAGTATACAGCAGTTAGTGTGTATGGAAGCCCATATTTGTCATAGGTTTATATACAGCAGTTAGTGTGTATGGAAGCCCATCTTTATCATAGATTTATATACAGCAGTAAGTGTGTATGGAAGCCTATCTTTGTCATAGGTTTATATACAGAAGTTTGTGTGTATGGAAGCCTATCTTTGTCATAGGTTTATATACAGCAGTTAGTGTGTATGGAAGCCCATCTTTGTCATAGGTCTATATACAGCAGTTAGTGTGTATGGAAGTCCATCTTTGTAATAGGTAAGTGTACAGCAGTAAGTTTGTATGGAAGCCCATCTTTGTCATAGGTTTATATACAGCAGTTGGTGTTTATGGAAGCCTATCTTTGGCATAGGTTTTTATACATCAGTTAGTGTGTATGGAAGACTATATTTGTCATAGGTTTATATACAGCAGTTAGTTTGTATGGAAGCCCATTTTTGTCATAGGTTTAAATACAGCAGTTAGTGTGTATGGAAGCCCATCTTTTTCATAGGTTTATATACAGCAGTTAGTGTGTATGGAAGCCCATCTTTGTCATAGGTTTAAATACAGCAGTTAGTGTGTATGGAAGCCTATATTTGTCATAGGTTTATATACAGCAGTTAGTTTGTATGGAAGCCCATCTTTGTCATAGGTTTATATACAGCAGTTAGTGTGTATGGAAGCCTATATTCGTCATAGGTTTATATACAGCAGCTAGTGTGTATGGAAGCCCATCTTTTTCATAGGTTTATATACAGCCGCTAGTTTGTATGGAAGCCCATCTTTTTCATAGGTTTATATACAGCCGCTAGTTTGTATGGAAGCCCATCTTTTTCATAGGTTTATATACAGCAATTAGTGTGTATGGAAGCCAATCTTTGTAATAGGTTTATATACAGCAGCTAGTGTGTATGGAACCCCATCTTTGTCATAGGTTTAAATACAGCAGTTAGTGTGTATTGAAGCCCATCTATGTCATAGGTTTATATACAGCAGTTAGTGTGTATGGAAGCCTATATTTGTCATAGGTAAGTATACAGCAGCTAGTGTTTATAGGACAATAGGAAAATAACTTACTATTTTACCAGAGCTACATGAGATTTCAACTGTGTGATCTACCTGATACCAGTGTTTTTGTTTACATCTGCCGTATTATAATTTAGGTAATTATGTTACATTTATTTGCTGTAGAGAGTAAATACATGTTTACTTTAGTGAGCCCTAATATATCATTTAAACTGTCAGAGTTAAGGTCTAAAAGTTCCCGTGCAAATTACATGGGTTTTATTGTATATTGTAAGATTAATCATTTACAATCCATGTTAAGTTGGTGTAGCACTGGAACTCTATGAGAAACAGCTGAACTTAAGGTTATACATAAAAATGTAACAGTGATAACATAAAGGAAAAAAACAAATTCACTGGATCGTACAGTTTAGCACCAACAAATTCACTGGATGGCACAGTCTAGCATCTAGCACCAACAAAGTCACTGGATCGTACAATTTAGCACCAACAAAGTCACTGGATCGTACAGTCTAGCACCAACAAAGTCACTGGATCGCACAGTCTAGCACCAACAAAGTCCCTGGATTGCACAGTCTAGCACCAACAAAGTCACTTGATCGCACAGTCTAGCACCAACAAAGTCCCTGGATTGCACAGTCTAGCACCAACAAAGTCACTGGATCGCACAGTCTAGCACCAACAAAGTCCCTGGATTGCACAGTCTAGCACCAACAAAGTCACTTGATCGCACAGTCTAGCACCAACAAAGTCCCTGGATTGCACAGTCTAGCACCAACAAAGTCACTTGATCGTACAATCTAGCACCAACAAAGTCACTGGATCGTACAATCTAGCACCAACAAGGTCACTGGATCGTACAGTCCAGCACCAACAAAGTCACTGGATCGTACAGTTCAGCACCAACAAATTCACTGGATGGTACAATCTAGCACCAACAAATTCACTGGATCGTACAGTCTAGCATCAACAAATTCACTGGATCGTACAGTTTAGCACCAACAAGGTCACTGGATTGTACAGTTCAGCACCAACAGAGTCACTGGATCATACAGTTTAGCACCAACAAAGTCACTGGATCGTACAGTCTAGCACCAACAAAGTCACTGGATCATACAATCTAGCACCAACAAAGTCGCTAGATCGTACAATCTAGCACCAACAAAGTCACTGGATCATACAATCTAGCACCAACGAAGTCACTAGATTGTACAGTCTAGCACCAACGAAGTCACTGGATCGTACAATCTAGCACCAACAAAGTCACTGGATCGTACAATCTAACATCAACAAAGTCACTGGATCGTACAGTCTAGCACCAACGAAGTCACTGGAGCATATACAGTCTAGCACCAACAAAGTCACTGGATCGTACAGTCTAGCACCAACAAAGTCACTGGAGCCTATACAGTCTAGCACCAACAAAGTCACTGGATCGTACAGTCTGGCACCAACAAAGTCACTGGAGCGTATACAGTCTAGCACCAACAAATTCACTGGATCGTACAGTCTAGCACCAACAAAGTCACTGGATGGTACAGTCTAGCACCAACAAAGTCACTGGATCGTACAATCTAGCACAAACAAAGTCACTGGATCGTACAATCTAGCACCAACAAAGTCACTGGATCGTACAGTCTAATAGAATAAAGTCACTGGATCGTACAGTCTAGCACCAACAAAGCCACTGGATCGTACAATCTAGCACCAAAAGGGTCAATGGATCATACAGTCCAGCACCAACAAAGTCACTACATCGTACAATTTATCCCCAACAAAGTCACTGGATCGTACAATTTAGCACCAACAAAGTCACTGGATCATACAGTCTAATAGAATAAAGTCACTGAATCATACAGTCTAGCACCAACTAAGTCACTGGATCGTACAGTATAGCACCAACAACATAGGTGAATCGTACAGTCTAGCACTGACAAAGTCACTGGATTGTACAGTCTAATACAACAAAGTCACTGGATCGTACAGTCTAGCACCAACAAAGTCACTGGATCGTACAGTATAGCACCAACAACATAAGTGAATCGTACAGTCTAGCACCAACAAAGTCACTGGATCGTACAATCTAGCACCAACAAAGTCACTGGATCGTAAAATCTAGCACCAACAAAGTCACTGGATCGTACAGACCAGCACCAACAAAGTCACTAGATCGTACAGTCTAGCACCAACAAAGTCACTGGAGTGTACAGTCTAGCATCAACAAAGTCACTGGATCGTACAGTCTAGCACCAACAAAGTCACTAGATCATACAATCTAGCACCAACAAAGTCACTGGATCGTACAGTCTAGCACCAACAAAGTCACTGGATTGTACAGTCTAATACAATAAAGTCACTGGATCGTACAGTCTAGCACCAACGAAGTCACTGGACCGTACAGTCTAGCACCAAAGAGCATTGGATGCTTGTAATATGATCCCCAGGATGTATCTATGTGGTGTAAGTTTGAACACTCAGTTATATGCTAAAACCTAGCATTGATGAGGATGATCGATCACAGATGAGGTAAAAACCAGCATGGGCATCACCAGCTCTCACCCTCGGCCGATATAAACCAGCATGGGCATCACCAGCTCTCACCCACGGCCAATATAAACCAGCATGGCCATCACCGGCTCTCCCCCTCGGCCGATATAAACCAACATGGGCATCACTAGCTCTCACCCACGGCCGATATAAACCAGCATGGCCATCACGAGCTCTCACCCTCGGCCGATATAAACCAGCATGGCCGTCACCAGCTCTCACCCTCGGCCGATATAAACCAGCATGGCCATCACCGGCTCTCACCCTCGGCCGAGATAAACCAACATGGGCATCACCAGTTCTCACCCCCGGCCAATATAAACCAGCATGGCCATCACCGGCTCTCCCCCTCGGCCGATATAAACCAACATGGGCATCACCAGCT